TTAGCATAATGGCTATGTCACTGGACTCCCATGTAGTTGACCGTGGTTCAAGTCCCAGACCCAGTGGCTTAAACTCACACCGGGAATGTGTGCGTGCATGCCCAAGATCCCGAGAGGAGAATGAAGGAGAAGGGATTGCAGCGTGGCCATCCCCCCTGGGGGGTGATTTCTGTCTCTCTGTCTCTCTCTGTCTTTCTGGCCAGCACACGCATCCTATAGCAAAAACCTCTCCAGAAAAGAAAAGAAAAAAAAAAGGTATTCATGTCATATATTTTTTTTTCCAAGAGTTTTTTTGCTATTAGAGCATGTGTGCTTGCCAGAGAAAGAGACAGAAAGTGAAAAATCACCCCCCAGGGAGGATGGCCATGCCACAATCCCTTTTCCTCTACTCTCTTCCCAGGATTTTGGGCACACATGCACACATATGTGCCTGGTGTGAGTTTGAAGCTAGCAGGTCTGGGACTCAAACTGCAGTCGACCGTGTGGGAAGTTAGTGATATAACCATTATGCCATCTACTGCTCCCCCGCCTCCCATTTTTTTAAATTTTCTAGAGGGCACGTGTGCTCACTGAAAAGAGACAGAGAGGGAAAATGAGAAAGCACCTTCCATGGAGGATGGTCATGCCGCAATCCCTACTCCTCTGCATCTCCTCCCAGGACCTTGGGCATGCATGCGCATGTGCCCAGTGTGTTTTTCACAGCTAGGTCTGGGACTCATGTCATGAGGTCAGCCACGTGGGATCCAGCCGCTTTCACAAACACCACTGGCTGTCTGTACCATATTTTATTTAACTTTTCTGTATTAGCAGCCTGGTCATATGAAGCTTAAGATGGCTAGATCACACATAGCCCACTGCATGGTTTGAGTACCAGACCCGGCGTCTTGAGAAACATGCCAGGCACTTGTGCATGCATGCTCAAACTCTTGGGACAGGGATTGGAAGAAAAGGGACTGAGGTGTGGTCACCCCCCAGGCGGTGCTTCCTTACTTTCTCATCTCTGTCTCTCTTTCTTGTCTCTGCTGAGCAAACATGCAAAAATTTGTCTTACAGCAAATTTTAAAAAATCTTTGGAGAGATTTTTGCTATAGGGGATGTGCACTCACCAGAAATACAGAAAGCAAGAAATCACCACCACCACCACCCCCGAGGCAAGATGGCTATGCCTCAATCCCTTCTCCTCCATTCTCCTCTCGGGATTTTGGGCACACACACTGTACATGGCATGATTTTCAAGGGTCTGGGACTTGAACCTCAGTCGACCACATGGAAGTTCAGCACCTTAACCATTACACCATCTGCTGGCCCCACAAATAATTTTTTTCTTTTTTAAAAAAATTATTATCTTTTTAAACAATTATTTTATTTATTTATCATTATTATTTTCTAGATTTTGTTTGTTTGTTTGCTTTTTTTTTTTTTTGAGAGGTTTTTGCTATAGGGTGCGTGCGCTCGCCAGACAGACAGAGACAGAGAGACAGAAAGTGAGAAATCACCCCCCAGGGGGATGGCCATGCCGCAATCCCTTCTCCTCCTTTCTCCTCTAGGGATCTTGAGCACGCACACACACGTGCCCGGTGTGAGTTTTAAGCCATCGGCTCCAGGACTAGAAACACAGTCGATTACATGGGAGTCCAGCAATATAGCCATTACACTACCTGCTGGTCCCTGGTTGTGGTCTTTTGATCAGAGACAGAAGAGAGAGAGGGAAAATGAGAAAGCAAGCCACCAGGTCTGGGACTCAAACCGCTGTCAACCATATGGGAGTCCAGTGCTTTTAACCACCATGCCACCTGCTGGCCCCATTTTTATTATTATTATTTTTTTAATGCATTCAATCACTATACATCATTTAGCTTGCAGGGAGAATTTAACGCAACATGAAAAACACCTCAGACCAGTTCCCACAAATAATTTTTTAAAAAATATATTATTATACAGGTTCACTATCCTTTGTCTGAAATACTTGATACCAAAAGTGTTTCAGATTTTAGGCTTTTTCAGATTTAGGGATATTTGCATACACGTATGAGACATCTTGAAGATGTGACCCACATCTAAACACAAAAGTCATTTATGTTCATATACACCATATACAAGAGCCTGAAGGTCATTTCATATGCTATTTCCAATATTTCTGTATTGTAGAATTTCTTTAGAGGTGTTTGTCTTAGGGCATGTGTGTTCACCAAAGAGAGAGACAGAGACAAAGATAGTGAGAGGGAAAGTGAGAAATCACTCCCCGGGGGGATGGCCACACTGCACTCCCTTCTTCTCCTCCATTCTCCTCCCTGGATCTTAGGCACGCATGCACACATGCCGGGCGTGATTTTCAAGCCCGGGTCTAAGACTCGAACTGCGGTTGACCATATAAGAGTTCAGCAACATAACCACTATGCCATCTGCTGGCCCCAGTACTGCAGAATATTTCTGTATTGAAGAACTTTTTTCTTTTCTTCTCCTCTCTCTCTCTTTTTTTCCATTTGCCACAGGCATGTGTGCTCACCAATGACAGACAGAAAGTGAGGGGGAGAAAGCACCCTCCTTGGGGCATGGTCCCACCACAATCCCTTCTCCACCTCTCCAACCTCTTAGAAGTTTGCTCATGCACACACACACACCTGGAGTGTTCCTCAAGCTGCCAGGTCCAGGCCTTGAACTGCCTGGTCAACCACATAGGATCCATCTCCCTAACACATGAGGCCATCCGCTGGCCCTGTATTGCAGCCTTTTGACTACAACCCAAGGTTAGGTGTGAAATTTTCCACCCGTGGTGTCATTTTGGTTCTCACAACATTTCAGATTCTGGAGCACTTCAGGTTTCAGATTTTCACATTTCAGATTAAGAATGCTCAACCTGTAATAAATATTTCTACTTCTACTACTTTCTACTCCGCTTAAAACACAAAAACACAAACATGAGGCCAGCAGGTCACAAAGTGGTTAGGGTGCTGGACTCCCACATGGCCAACCGCAGTTCAAGTCCTGGACCTGGAGGCTTGAAACTCATGCCAGGCACATGTGCATGTGTGCCCCAAATCCCAAGAAGAGAATAGAGGAAAAAAGGTTGTGGCATGGCCATCCTCTCTGGAGTTTGGTTTCTCACTTCCTCTTTCTCTGTCTCTCTCTTTCTGGCAAATGCACATGCCTTATAGCAAAAATGTCTCTTAAGAAAAAAAAAATACACACACACACAAATTTAAACACACACACATATACACAAAGCAACCAACATAAGAAAAGTGAGAAGTAATTCAAGATCAAGAAATGGTACCTGGGCCAAGGGCAATAATAGAAAGAACATTAAAATCATGGACATTTTTACTTACCTTAAATGTGAAATTTGCATCAAATATCAGCTCCTGTTCATGTCCTGTGATTCTTCCATTGTAAATAACTTGGCATCTTTTAGTTGGTGCTGCCTTAGAGAGTTTGAAGAGGCGAAATGTTGCAGAAACAAAACAACAGTCACCTAAAACCAAAATTTACTCATGATATATCTCTGGCACATTTGCTCAGCAGATGAGAAACAAACATACTGTAAGATCATTTTCTGGGCCAGCCAACAGCATGTTGGTTAAGGCAGCTGGATCCCATATGACTGACTGTGCTGTTTGAGTGCCGAACATGGCAGCTTGAAAAACACCAGCAGATTGGGAACAGCAGTTGGCATAATGGCTATGTCGCTGGACTCCCATGTAGTCGAACACAGTTCAAGTCCCAGACCCAGTGGCTTAAACTCATGCCAGGTGCATGTGTGCGTGCCCAAGATCTCGAGAGGAGAATGGAGGAGAATGGATTGTGGTGTGGCCATCTCCCCTCGGGGTGATTTCTCGCTTTCTGTCTCTGTCTCTCTCTGTCTTTCTGGTGAGTGCACATGTCCTATAGCAAAAACCTCTGAAAAAATAAACAAACAAACAAACAAAACACCACTAGATGGAGCAGTGGTTAAGGAGGCTAGATCCTACACAGCCAAAAGCATGGTTTGAGATCCAGACCCACAAACCAGACCCAGATGGAGAAAAAACTGCCAGGCATGTGAATGAATGCCCAAAGTCCTGAGAGAAGAATGGAGAAGGGATTATGATGTGGCCATCCCACCTGGGGGAGGTGCTTTCTCACTTTCCCTCTCTCTGTCCCTGTCTCCTGTGAATGCACATGCCTTATAGCAAAAGTTGGGGGGAAAATGCTAGGCACAAGTGCATATGTGCCTAAAATCCCGAGAAAAGAACAGAGGAGAAGGGATTGTTGTATGGCCATCCCCCCTGGAAGGTGCCGTCTCATTTTCCCTTCTTCACTTCATCCTTCCTCAGGGAGAAAATCTAGCAAAAAAAAAAAGATACTTGTCTTTACATGCCGCCAACCATCTTTCTGGGTACTTTATTTACTCAGTGACTTCAAAGTACTTAACTAAATACCAACTTGTGGGGGGTCTTCATTAGATAGGAGACAAGATGGACATTTCAGGATGACACAAAGTCTCTCTCAAACTCAGAAGACACTCATTAATCAGCAAATTTGAACTATTCAGGTTTCAGTTATAAAAGTACCTGCTGTTGTTTCTTACCAATAATTTTTTCTAGTTCCTTGTTTTGAATTGTAATTAGATTGGCAGTGACTAAACGTGGAGGGCAGAACCCAACTTTTTGGGCAAGAATGGCAAGATCTTTCCAGTACAAAGCACCGCCCAGGCATTCACCTATTAAAAAACAAACAAATAAATAAATAAATAAAAGAACAACCAATGGTATTAGTTAAAACATATAGATTCTTGAAATAAAAGCTAACCTGTTAGTAAACTCTGCTCCCCAAGATCTAGACAGTCATGGTTAAAACTAGATATGTTTGGGCCAGCCGGTGGCATGGTAGTTAAGGGGGCTGGATCCCACGTGGCCAATGGTGCAGTTTGAGTCCTAGACCCTGGAGCTTAAAAAACACACTGGGTGTGTATGCATACATGCTCAAAATACTGAGAGGAGAATGAGGGCGAAGGGATTGTGGTGTGGCCACCCCCCTTGGGAGTGATTTCTCACTTTCCCTTTCTCTCTTTTCAGCAAGTGTGTATGCCCCACAGCAAAACTAAAACTAAAATAAAATCCTAACTATCTTTGGGATCCATTCTCAAGAGAGTTCCTAGTGTGGAACCAGCAGATGGCATAATGGTTACATCACTGGACTCCCATGTAGTCAACCACAGTTCAAGTCCCAGACCAGACAGCTTGAAACTCAGTATGAGTGCATGTGCGTGTGTGCACAAGACCCTGAGAGAGGAAAAGACTGTTCTGTGGCCATCCCCCTGGGGGGTGATTTTTCAGTTTCTGTCTGTCTTTGTCTCGTCAGCAAGCACACTGGCCCTATGCAAAAACACTGTGAAAAAAAAATGTCCATAATGTATTGATTCCATTCATCTGGGATCCTATCCATGCATGTATTAGATCACATTCTGAAAAATGCTATGTTATATGAATTAAAAAGTATAGGGACCAGCCGTTAGCATAATGGCTATGTTGCTGGACTCCATGTAGTCAACCGTAGTTCGAGTCCTGGACCCGGTGGCTTAAACTCACACCAGGCGCATGTGCGTGCATGCCCAAGATCCCTAGAGGAGAATGGAGGAGAAAGGATTGCAGCGTGGCCATCCCCGCTGAGAGGTGATTTCTCACTTTCTGTCTCTCTCTGTCTTTCTGGCGAGTGCCCATGCCCTATAGCAAAAACCTCTCTTAAAAAAAAAAAAAGTATAAAAGAGAAATTATAAAATTGCCTCTTAGCTCCAGATTCTTTTTTTTTTTTTTCTTTATTCTTGACAGAGCACATGCACGAGAAAAAAAAACCCTCTAGAGGGTCTGGTCATCCATGATCCTCTCCCTCCGGTTCTCCAGCCCATCCCATCCTGGGCACTTAGACATGTGCCCTGCATGCTTCAGGCTGATGGCCTGGGAATTCCACCACAGAGACCAAGTGGGATCTGGCTTCTCTTGAGTCACGCATTACACTGGGCCATGGAACCAGCCCTAGCTCTGGATTCACTTCATTACAATCTACTTAATTAGAACAGTAACTACTGCTAATGTTCCTGAGGTATTTTGATGCCTGAACAGGCCATTCTAAGGACCAGAAATCAGGTCCATGACACTGGCCACACGACAAAAACCAACATTTTTTTTTTTTTTTTAATTCCAGTCTTGGGGCCGGCAGGTGGCATGGTGGTTGGGGCATTGGACTCCCACATAGCTGACCACGGTTCAAGTCGTGGACCTGGTGGCTTGCTTTCTCACTTTTCTCTCTCTCTCTGGTCAAATTAAAAAGAAATAATAACAAATAAAATAAAATAAAATAAAATAAAATAAAATAATTCTTAAAAATAAAAAAGCCTGTTTTGTAAGGCCAGAGCTAGTGAAAAGGAAAGAATTTATTCAGTGACGCCAACACCAAATAGTGGACCCAAGCCCATAACCCTTTCCACCGTATGGATGAGACCTAACTTGCAAAGGGAAAGGAGCCGGTATGCATGTACACCTAGAAACAGGGGGATGTACCAAAGGGCACGTTATTCGTTGTCTCAGAGCAAATGAGGGGGAGGCCTGGTCATTGTCTTCAGCCAGGATCATGAGGAGACAATGAAAACCAGAATGTGCCTCCTCTAGTCCAACTCAAAATCCCTTGGGACGAATACCAGCAGGCTGATCTACACATACCTATGGTCCTGTGACCAACTTGTGTCCTTTCTGGTGAACTCAAAAACTTCTGTTTCCCTGTGTAGTTCTTGTTATTGTAGCTGTTTTTCTCTGCTCCTGCTTTGACGCTGTTTAAGTGTTTTTTGTTTTTTGTTTTTTTCATTCACTTGGGGTTTTAAGATAACAGAAAAAGGGGCCAGGGCCCTGTGGCCTAGTGATTGAGAGAAGTGGATCCCACATGTCTTCCCATGTGGTTCAAGTCCCAGATCCTGCAGCTTGAGAAACAGGCTGGACACATGTGCATGTGGCCACAAAATCCCGACAAGATAGAGAAGATAGAGAAATGGAGGAGAAGTATTGCGTCATGACCATCCCCTCCTCCCCAGGGGGGGTGCTTTCTCACTTTCCCTCTCTCTCTGTTTCTGTCTGGAGAGCACACACATCTTCTGGCAAAATTTAAGTCATAATAATAATGGGATAAGCAGATGGCATAGTGGTTATGTCGCTGGACTCCCACATGGCCGACTACAGTTTGAGACCCCAACCAGATGGCTTGAAACTCACGCCGGGTGCATGTGTATGCATACCCAAGATTCTGGGAGGAGAATGGAGGAGAAGGGATTCTGGTATGGCCATCCCCCTTGGGGGTGATTTCTCACTTTCCCTCTCACTGCGTCTGCCTATCTATCTGTCTCACTTTCTGGGGAGTGCATGCACCCTAGGGCAAAAAACTCTCAAAAAATATATAATAATAATAAGCCTCTTCTGGTATCTCCTGTTCACAGGTAATGAAAGCATGTGGTTTTGAAAATAAATTAGGTGTGGGGCTGGCAGGTGGCATGGTAAAGGCACTGGACTCCTCCTTGGTCGACCACAGTTCAAGTCCTGGACCTGGTGTCTTGCTTTCCAACTTTCTTTCTCTCTCTCCGGCGTGAGTTCTAAGCCACCGGGTCCGGGACGCGAACCGCGGTCGACTACGTGGGAGTCCAGCGACATAGCCATTACGCTAACTGCTGGTTCCCTTTTCATGTTATTTGGGATCTTAAAGTCATGTTATATTAAAGTAATAATAATAATAATTAATTAATTAAATTAAATAATTGTTTTAAAAAACTAAAATTTTTTTCCATTTTTGGCTTTTAAAATTTTATAGGAATGAAAGATATTGCATCTATTAACAAGATCCTGTTCCATGTTTTTAAAAAAAAATTGTACACCACCCCTCTGAGGGGGTGATTTCTCGCTTTCTGTCTCTCTAGTGAGCACATGCACCCTATAGCAAAAACCTCTCAAAAAAAAATTATACTATATAAACGCACATTATTATTATTATTTACTTTGCTAGAGTACATGTGTGCTTGCCAGAGAAAAACACAGAGACGGAGCGAGAGAGAGGGAAAGCACCCCCAGTGGGAGTGGGGAGGCTCGTGCAGCAATCCTTTCTCCTGCTGTCAAGACGAACTTCAGAGTGACTTCCCCTTACCCCCAAATATTCTCTCCAGACTCGGCATTTGGTAAAAGCATGGGCCCTTTACGTTTTCTCCAACTTCTGAGAATTGCTGAATGGTAAGGAGCCCTGGGGATGACTGACAGTGGAGAGTCAAATAATTAACACTTTTTTTCCCTAAGAATTGTTTATTTCGTTTTTTCTTTTTTTCTCCTTTAAATGAGATGTTTTTTGCTATAGGGCATATATGCGCTCGCTGGAGAGACAGAGAGGGACTGAAAGACATAAAGTGAGAAATCACCCCCCAGGCGGGGATGGCTATGCTGCAATCCTTTCTCTCCTATTTTCCTTTCAGGATTTTGGGCACGAATGCACATGTGCCTGGCATGAGTTTCAAGCCACCTGGTCTGGGACTTGAACCTCAGTCAGCCATGTGGGAGTCCAGTGAGCTAACCACTAGTCTATTTGCTGGTCCCTATTTAATTGTATTTATTATTATTGTTATATTATTTTTTAAATTTGCTATAGGGCACATGTGCTCACCAGAGAGAGAGAGAGAGAAAGTGAGAAAGCAAGCCGCCAGGGACTCAAACTGCAGTTGGCCATGTGGGAATCAAGCACCTTAACCACCATGCTATCTACTAGCCCCTAACTTTAATTATTTTTTTTATAAGATTTTATTAAAGGTTTTTATGGAATAATATTCAGACTCCAGATGCAGCTGCAGAGACCCTGTTACGCCGTGGGGACTAGCTGGGGCGTGACAGCTGGCTCTGGCTTTGCATCCTTCTGTTCTGAGATGGGAGTGGTGGGCAGTGTCCCATCTTTGGGTTCCACGATGCTCATGTGATCAGGCAAGGGCTTCAGGGCCGATCTCACACTTGGGTCCCAGGGCGGCGTGATCTTCATGTCGATGCCCAGCACGCCCTGTCTGAGCAGCACATGGGCATGGCCGTGTTGACCTCGAAGTTGGCAGGGTCCCACTGGGAATCATCGGGCCATCCACACATTCCATGGCCTTAGCCCTCTGTCCCTGAAGTTTCCCAGACACCACAACCTCGCAAACCCTGACCCCCCCTCTCCATGATAAACTGCACACACGGTAGCAGGCCCACCGCACAGCAAGGCCTCGAAGGAGTTTATAACGCAGAGACCCTGCCTGGGCAGTGGCACACAGACCTCTGGTGGCCACCTTCTGGCATAAAGCTCCCCACTGCCCTCAGGGGAGCCAAACTTCTAAACGACAGCAGTCAGTTCTCAGATCCGCCAGCCCTTCTCACCAAGCACAGTCTGTGTCCTGGTGACTAAGATCATGATTTCCGTCCTGGCGGGTGTAACTCGAACATCAGCTCCAGAGTAAGGAACTTGTTCAGTTCAGCTTTGAAGATGCCATCAGCAACAAACTTCCTCTTCATGGAAATTTACACCACTATCTTGCCCTTTCTTTTTTCTTAATAATTAACTTTTTAGCTGATAACAGGAGCCACCTATTCTGTCCTCGATATCAAAGTAACTCAATAGCAGTGCTTTGGGGTAACACCTGTGACAGGAATCAGTAGTACAATTAAATGGAGGCCA